ATATATATATACATTACATTTTTACGTCCATGTGTCTCATTTAAGATTTATGTTCGCATTTGCATTTAATGGATACAATTGTTGCCATTTTTGGTTACGAACGCTTTCTTGTGAGAGGACGACATACTAATCATCAACTATCACAATCTATAATGGAACTTTCTAACTCCTAATGTAGGCTTCAGGTTTGAACCCGATTGCAAATGACGTGACGAGGTTCCTAGCTGAGTGTAATAGTGGAGGGATAGTTTCGAATTCATTTCAAAATTCATGTAACGTTTTTACTGAAAAGTTTGTTATTAGTATAATTATTGTAACACGAGTAACCCGCACCAATATATCATAATCTCCTTAGCATGCACAGTGTTTGTTTGTAATAGATAGTGTTACAAAGTAGTCTACAACTTGACTGGTCATCGTGACACAATGTTTGAAAAGATAAATTATACCAATATCAGTATTAATCCGAACACCATACATCCTACTATTCCAAACTTAAGCAATTGTGTTGCTGCTTCGGCTACTGTATACAGATTATACCTTTGCTATTACATTTTTTTTTTCAAATTAATTATCTAAGCATGAGCTTAGCTCAGTCGGGTAAACTGATGGTAGCCACTGTGTGTGCGCTGAACATTTGGGATCTCTAGGTCCCCGGTTCCTATTCCCTCTAGACGGTACATTGGACCGGACCCCAGTCGACATTGTTGAACTGTCAGTGTGGCAAATATCTAGAGCTGATACGCTAAGAATACGTCATGGTCCACTATGACCCTCTCTGCAAAAGTACTCTGACCAGTCCATTTATTACAGTTAGACTTCGCCTAATGTTCAATAACCAGTTACGATTTTGCGTGTACTGTACGTACAGTAGGCCTATGCATGTATAACTGTCTGAAATTTAATTTCATAATATGTAATCTGGCTTACAGTGGCCTATTTTCTCTGCGATGCCGATTCTAAAATTAGGTAAGTAAAATAATTTTCAATTTGAATTCACCAGTGAAGTTTTACCAAGAGAATCGATCGTGTTTATACTTAACTGTCTAAAAGAAAAAACACCTTAAAGTCAGAGGTCTTAATTACTTTTATTTAAAAGGCGTGACGGCCCAGAATTTGGTCAAAAACCTTCTACATAGAATTTCTAAAAATAATCTTTTCACGTTTATGAATCTTAGATTGAATTGGCTTCCAGAGACATTTAACAGAATAAAGAATAACTTACAGTATAAAGGAAGCTTTACCAGTGATCACAAATGATCAAAAGAATTGTGTACAGTTAAATGTCTTTACATTAACGGACCATACCAACGAACATATGCATTACAGTATCCTGAGATGGAGGAACTATTTGCAGGCCCTGGACAGTATATGAACAATTATCTTTGCATTTCATACTTTAAACCGCGAAAAACAAAGAAATTATTGCTATGATATATACAGATAAAGAAAGTAAAAAAATAATATTAGGCCTAATTTAACTGTTTTTGTATGTAAACTGGTGTATGTTTTTGTGTGCATTTCATTTTAGATAATCCGCTTTTAAACCACGTTTTCGTTTTGTTCGGGTGTTTTCTGTATTATTTTCACACACGCAAAATAACGTATCATATTGGAAGCTCAGCTCAAAGCTAAAATTATGAGGAATACGATTCAAAATTACACATTATAAACATAAGATAACAAAATTCCATTACTACCACTTTTATTACAGCTACAGCAGAACTCCTCCTTTGTGACACCCCCATTAAGGGGACGTTTCTTGCGCTAAACGAGGAAAAGTAAATATTTTAACATTACGACACCCCTATTAAGGAGACGCTTGTTTGGGTTCTGAAGGTATCCCCTTAATAGATAGGGGTTTTACTGTACTACTTTTACTACTTCTACTATTATTATTACTACTACTGCTACCGCTACTACAATACTAATACTAGGCCTACTACTGCACACTTTCTTCAAATACCTTTTCGATATTTATAAACTGATTTTATTATTTCTTTCGATGTTGTAGAAATGCTGTAAGTATTCGTGATTGATGTAAGTGTCCCAAACAATATTATGGGCAATAGATTACAATTCATTGTGCGTGTTGCATACGGAATGCGATATTACACTAAATACAATTATTGTATTCTTAACAAACTACTCACGTTGTCCTTTAGCACTTCATAAAGTGTCCTAGATTGATGGTTCAGCCAGTTTCATTAGAATCAACGGTGCTGACGTGTTTCAATTTTCTGAAACAAATAACGATATACTATATGATATTGTAACAATGCTGTGGCTGCGCTGTAAACACGTCCTGATTGTTAAGAATCAGGTATAATGGGGATTCAGTATCTATATTGATATGATCGATCACAAGATCAGATGCATTTACAGTTACACGTGTTTTCACAGCTGTATTCCGTTGGGGTAGGATTATCATATCAGTTGAAACTGCTACATAATCAATAAAAGTAATTGCAAGAGTAAATATCTACAACTTATGTTATTTGCTTATTTTCATATACACTTTAAAAACCTGTATCCCACCACATTAAAGGTACAGTCACTATGAGTACTAATTGCATCGCATGGGACTCCTTAGGCCTATACCACACCGATTAGCCTCCCATGGCGACATACAACATTGGCCCTGTCTCTTATACACATCTAGATGTGTATAAGAGACAGGTGTTGCGTTGCGTTGTGTTTTATCTGCGTTGCGTTATCTGTGTTGTGTCTGCGTTTCACGAGCCAGACGTTTTTGTGTTCTTTAAACACAGGTAGGGATGTGGTTTTTTTTCTTTAAGATGATTGTTTCGTTAAGATGATTGCTATCATATTGTATCTTCCTGAAATCCTAATCTTGGTTAAATGATACTATTATTATACTCATAATGACGATTATACATTAATGTGATTTGTTTACTTTAGTTTATTCTATGTCTACTCATTTAACACTGATTGCTTCCAATATAATATTCCGAAAGGAATTTTTTCGACGAGGGGTCCAACCTCCCAATAAGGGATCCATACCTACCCTCTCTTTTTTCGGAGAAGCCTAGCCCCTCCCCCGGTCGGGGAAAAATTAAATTTGTCGGGGAATTTGTTCGTTAATTATGGGATTTAAAAAGAACAATTTGATAGAAAACCATGCAAGTTAAAGCCTGGTTCTCACGAGAGACCTAGTATCCGGATCGGGAGCTAACCGTTAGCGCTAACCGTTAACACCTGTGTGAGAACGCCCAATGCCGTGTGAGAACCGCTGCCGTGTGAGAACATAGCCAATGAGTCCCACCGTTGGAGGTACCAGCCTCCTGTCGGGAAAGCCTAGTTCAACCCCCCCCCCCCCCCACCCCCCAGTCGGTAAAAAAAATAATTTGCAAAGAAGTTTTTTATTAAACAATAATACAATTTTGTGTTAATTTATGGGATTCTTTATTTAAAAAGGATAATTTGATATAGAAAAACCATGCAAGTTGAGAGTCCTACTGTCGGGAGTACTAACCCCATATCGGAGGTACCATCCCCCTGTCGGAGAATAGCTGGCGCCACCACTGCAACCCATATGATCGCAATATTATACTACACTTCGCACATAACGATCCAAGCATGGGGTCCAGAGGTCCCCGACAAAGGCCCTTTACCCTGGACCCCCACTAGCGCTGCCCCTGATTCCAATATTTACGACATTATTTTGTTATCAACTTCATCATCACCAGCAGCATCATCAGCATCAAGCATCATCTTCATTATTATCATTAATGTAATATTAATGATAACTATATTATTATTATTATTATTATTATTATTATTATTATTATTATCATTATTATTATATTATTATCATCATCAGACCTGTTACATAGTCAATGTCAGCATAATGATCTAAGTCTTTGTACTGTATATACTCGGACAACTGATTAGCATTATTTAAACATCTGTTGTAGTTCAACCAAGCTGCATTGTTAATTATGTCAAAATATCAAACGAGCCCTTAGGTGTTATAGTCTTGTGCTATGTTTATTGGTAACCTGAAAATATGATAAATACAGTTATCTCCAATTGGAGACAATCTTGGGACCTCAAAACTTGTGGTGGTCTCGGGTTAGGTCTCCACTTACCGGCTTAGATTTATGTTAAAAGATTGAAGATTGTTATTTACTTCTGTAAATACAATGGTCTTGAATTAGAGGGTCTCAGAATTAGAGTGGTATCGGATTGGAGGGTGTACTGTAAAGCATCAAATAATTATTGAAATATGTTTTTAAACATAATTTTTCATTATTGAGCTACAAAACCTTCGAGTAATTGCAATACCTGAACGCTAATGGACGCTCAGGAATAGCAATTACGGTATATTTATCTGTCAATTTATAACAGAGCCAGAAATACGTGCATGTCCCACAAAGCATGTGTTTACACACGTTTACTCTGTCGTTTTATAGCATCTTAACGACAATATCAAAGGGGCCAGGCTTAACTGAACAGCCCATTGCCTCTACAAGATAGCCTCAATACACCTTTCCGGAGTGTCAATCAAACTTAGCAACTGACCAATCAAAACAGCGCTAGGGATACACGCGCGTATCACAAACACACGTGTTGTATCACAAACACACGTGTTGTCCCACAAACGCACGTGTTCGCCTATGTTTTAACACTGTCGTCAACATACAACATTGGCCTCTTCGGAGAGCCAATTAAACTTAACAACCGATTAATTAGAACTCTCAGACTAAACATTTCTTTTTATCTCAGTTTTTTTTTTGTCCCCCTTTCTTGTCCCACCTCCCTCCCTTCTTGAATCCACCACTGAGCTTCTAAGCCATGTTACACTAATTAATGTGGGAGTTAATTATAGTCTGTTAATAATTAGTGAAACATCTGCATTACAATCTCTACCCGATACAATATAACTGCAACCACCATTACCGTTCATTTACAGCCTAATGTAAATTTGATGGCATATAAATATTGTGTTTCAAATAAACAACATTGGTATAATAACACAATGATAGCGGAATTATCTATACGCTAGTCCTCCAAAAATGAAAAATCTCCACTCTAATTATGAAACCTGATACAAACAAATAAGGAATACTGTAATGAAAAAAATATATGGACCTTTTTCCACATACAGTTTTTCCACGTACTGTTTATTGGCTTATCAAATAAGTAATGCTGGCTTTTTACCCTCTGGTCGTTATGAACATTGGTATTAACTCAGTATAATAGCGGACAAATTTATAATCTAGCCCTCCAAAGAAAAATTTAAAAAAAATCTCCATTCTAACGAATGCAACCTGATACAAATTTTTTTTAAATAATTTTAAAAAAAAGAAGATATATAGGGCCTAGACCTTTTTTTCATATACAGTTGTGTACACAGATATCCATTAACTTATCAATTAAGTAATGTTTTTTTACCGTCGTTATGACCTCTCGTTCCCTGGCTATGATTGAGACATAAGTGAAGACATTTTATTTATTGATGTCGACATAAAATCGTGCTCGAAAAGAACCTTTCATGTAACCATCAAATCAATGATGAGTCAACAATAATCTGTGCAAAAAGGATGTCGGCTAACTCGTACCAATGTCAACTCGTACCCACTTAGACCAATTCGTACCCACTTTGGCCAACTCGCACCCAAATTTAGGTGAACTCGTAAACACATTGGTGATCTCGTACCCATGACTTTTGCAAACTCGTACCTAAATGTATTCAAGCAATATGTATAGGCCTATTGCGTATGTTCCCCAAATTATTTATTTTTATATATTTAATGATGTTATTCTAATCATTGTTATTTGTTTTTGTCTAGCTCGTAAAAGAAAGTCAAAAGAATAAATTTAAGTGCCTTGATAATTTTTTTGAGAATAATGTGTTCTAATAAGAATAACCATGGAGCTATACAATTGTATAGCTCCATTGAATAACTACACTAGAAAGACTTTCACCAGGTTTTTCCCCAGGTCAGATGGTAGAGTAACCAAACCATAATTTCAGGGTATGTGGTTCAAATCCTGGTAGGACCTAGTATGTGAGCTTTTTTTTTTATTTTCTTTTTAAACCGGCACATGGCTTAAAAAATTTTTAGCATGATGACACATGACCAAGAAAACGTTGTAGTAATTTCAAGCGCCAGTAGATTCAAAATTGTATTCATAGTTTGACGTGTGTGACGTTACAATTTTGATATAGCACTAATATTGCATGTGTGCATTTTTCTTTTTGTATAACCATTTACGTTGATAAATGATGGAATGTGTAACTAAAATATTCCTGTACAAACTGATTTATCTCTGAATAATGTCAATCCCGCTTTGTTCTTTTCGGAGACCATTATTGTTGTACATCTATTCATATTCTAATTACTGACTTTGTAGTTGTATAATGAGTGTAATGTGAACATTTCATATTGATTAAATTATGTTAATGAGGTTATAGAATATTTACTTGGGATTTTTATTATTAGAATGGGAGGCCTATTCAAACAAAAGCTGTTGAAATATCAATACTATGTGTTAGTTCAAATCAAATTCCTTTCGCTACAAACAAAATACGAAAATAATTAATAACCAAAACATCAGTGAATGAATAGTATGTATACATATATGTATATCATTAATCAATTGTCCATTTTTAAATACAAGATAAATTAAAAAAAAGAGAAGATTAACGTTTCTGATGAAGGTCAGATGAGCAAACTAACAGAAAAATAAATGAATTTAGTTAATTTCTCTCATTAGATTCTTGATATATAATGATTATAATCATTGATTTAATAAGGATAACTCAATGTAGCACTGTAAACATGTACAAACACATAATTGTCAATGATAGAAACAGTGCTCTAATATAGGAATACGATGTTATAATCTTGTACATTAGCCCCTCAACGAAAGGTTATACGAAAAGTGTCTGGGCATCATATAATATGAGTGTTTATGTAATGTTATTTTCAAGTTTAATAACAACCAATGATCAAATAACTAATACAGAAAAAACATTCATTCAAGAATAATTTACTAATAACATATTCCACAATCATTCATCACTAATGATAATAATACTGTATTTTATTGCATTGTGGATTGCAGACTCCTTAGGTGCTTTACTAACTATAGTATGTAGAGGTATTGTGTAAAGAACCTTGTTGAATTACTGAACGCATCAGTATGATTACTAGCCGTGATTTGTGGCTTAGGACTGCTTAGGACTACATCAAATTTTAATTGTTTTCCATTAAGTACATCTTTAAACAAGCAAGTACACCCGTGATTCCTCTGTGATAAATGAACATGGAAAGTCTTGTAATCCGCACTTATGTGGGCGATATGTATCAAAAGTTAATCATATTATTGCCGGTTCACGGTTAAATATAAATGCCTTAAAGAAAAGCATATATCGGCGATAGATTAATTTGTATAATTACGGCGGTAGCCATGGTTTTCATATTGGATGTTACCCTGCAGCGTTTGCCAGGCTTCAAAATTCGTATTCAATCAATATAAAATATAAATGAAATTGCAAGTTGTGAATGCCTCAAGTATTTTTCGATTTATGATAAATCTAAAAATGAGTGTGCTTGAACTTTAATTGAGGTAAATGTCCCGGATATAAGATTTCTCCTACACAAACATTTGATTGATGGTGGTTATTGGATCTTCTTGTAATTAATGCAAGACTTACTTTGTTAAGCTCAATTCATATATAAAAGCTGAATTATTTGTTTGTTACAAAAGCACATAAAACCATCATCGACAGAAAGAAATATTTATTTTATATACTTTGCTTGAATTAGTAATATAGAAAATAACAATAACAATATGAATTAATGGCAACATTAACAATTTTAATAGCAACAACAATAGCAATAATAATAATAATAAGAATTTCATAATTTTATAGTGCGAAAAATTGATGAACTAGTAATTGGCATCTATTGATGACCATCCATCTCAATTAAAATTTACAGGTTTTAATAAATGGTTTAAATAGAAAAAGACCTTATAGTTCCGTATTAAGATTGGCAGTAATAATTTATTATTCATTTGAAGTATTATATTGTTTAGGTCGCTCAGTAACACCAATGTATTAGCCCCGTGACTAGAGTAACTATTCAGAACCACAATTTAATCTTTAGCAGCTTAACTACTTCAAAGGGATTTTCTATTTAAGAGTCATTACCTTTGTTTCTTACAGTGTACTTTTAAATACTTCATTATGGAAAGAGTCATGTACCAGCAAATTAATTTTCATTTCATGAATATTCATTTTTTATGCCAAACAATCGTACAGGATATTACGCATGCGTTGTGTAATCATCATCATCATTCATTAATGTGTATAAAAATGATTAAAAGTATATTTGTACCGCTGTAATAATGTCATTAATAATAACAATACCAACAACATAATAATAATAATAATAATAATAATAATAATAATAATAATTACAATAACTTAATAATAAAATAATAATAATAATGTAAATAATAATGTAAATAATAATAATAATAAATAAATAAATAATAATAATAATAGTAATAGTAATAGTTCAGTAATGTATTTTAGCAATCGAGTTCTCTATATAAAAACAATATAAATTAATAAATATATCTGGAATTATTATTGTTGTTTTGATTATTGAGATTACATCTGATAATAACAATAATAATAATTATTATTATTATTATTATTATTATTATTATTATATGTCTAAATATGATGAAAAGCGTGACATTTAAGAGAGCTGTTGTGAGATGGGTAATGATGATGAGGGTTTGAATTTTGATTTGATTAATTTAGTTTCACACACACAATACAAAAAAATATGCCACGCTCTTTATATAATCAAAAACATCATTAATGTCCTTGTTCTCTATTAAAATAAAATATATCCAATAAATGTCTCTGGACTCTGAATTACTATTGCTGTTTTGATTATTGCTGAGATATCAAAAATAATAACTGGCTTAGTATAATGGAAAGATGACATCGAATAATGAGGTCGTTAATATTTGATGACAATGGTTTGTTTTATATATTTGACTTGATTTATTTAGTTTTACATAAAAATACAATACAATACTTAACATTCTTCATAAAATCAAAAAGATCATTAATTTCCGCCTACAATAATTACAATATAAGTTCTATCAAATTATTAAAATACCAATTTATAAACTACCATACGACTGTGAAGTAATCAAGCAACTTTGAATAATACATTGTACCCCATAATTATTTACAAACTAAAAATGCACGTGTAATCGACAAAACAATCATTAACGTATAATCATACTCTTAAATACTCAAAAAATTCCGAATCGTATTCCATTTAGATATAGCCACTGTAATTAACGGCATTTTATAAAACGGGATTTTATTATCGTCATGTAGTAGGAAATATAATGGATTACAATAATAATAGTCGGTACCAGCATCAGGTAGGCCTACACCAACATTCAAACGAAGCGACTTACCTTGATCATGTGCGACAAATGACACTGAATGGACTAAGAGGCAATGATACAGGAATATCACGAAAAAGACTAACGCTTGTTTCAAACTATTTGCCTAAAAATAGGTTATTATTCATGGACGATCGTTCGTAGGAAACTGACCAATCACATGGGTTGTCGTATACTGATTTCAACTCACCGTCTGCATAGCCAATTATAATCGCTCTTTATTCTCAGTCAGAGCATGATTGTACTCGAAAATATATCTCCGGCTTGTATCAACCAGATCATGCATCAACAGTGAAGGAGGGAGACAGCATACGATACTCTTAGGTACAACATTTTATTTTATCACTTTGATATGCGCTATTCATACGTTGTTTGCGTGGTTCATTGCACACCGTAACGCACATTGGGCCCTGGATTCAAATCCTGAAGGTAAACCTCTCAATAATTATTTCAGAAGTGCCTAAACACAACAGGTACGTTTTGCTGTGGGTACCTTTATTAGCAAACACAAATTAATATTTGTATATATAAATATCTTGGACGATGTGTTTTGACACAATATTCGATTAATTAATTAATTACCGTAATAAGAAGATAAGTTTTATGTATTAACAGCTTGCAGTATAGAGGTGAGTTAGTTACGTCTTTTTTACGGATTGTTAGTAGACCTACTAGATAGCTTGTCCAGGACAACTTCGAAAAATAGATGATAGTAGAATTCGCACACCGGTAAACACACTTATTTTCTGAATCGGTTCAGCTCCAACGTTCTTAATTCGTTTATTCTCTTTCAGAGTTTATTTTGTTTGTGTTAGGCGTGACCATCTACACACTTACTCGAAAAATATTAATATTGGTTATCTATACGATTATTCAATTTCACTAGATACTTTAACCCAAGATTAACATTCTACTCTGAACTCTAACCCTTCACATGAAACCATGTGAAGGGTTAGATCATTAAAGCATTATCACTGGCGTTGATTATTCTCATTATCATCATCATCATCATCATCATCATCATCATCATCGTCATCATCATCATCACCATCATAAGTGTCATTTCGTTCTTCATCATTTATCGCTATCTCTACCTGCAGCATCATTGTCATTATCATCATTGTTATTATCATCATTGTCATTTTCATCATTGTCGTGGGGGTCGTCATCATCATCTTTAGCAATGTCCACATTTGATCTTCATCCTCCTCTTCGTTATCTCCGTTATCATGATCCAGGGAATGACAATATGGGCGTTCTCACTTCCCCCACCCCTGGCAAAGTATCACTAACCAATTGTTAAATCATTTAGATAAGAGATTAAAATGGCTAAAAATCCCAACCTACCATTAGGTAACGGAACACCGCAAAACTTTTCTCTCTTGACCAT